CGGTGGATAGATCTCGAAAAAATACGCGATTGCGGTGGATAGATCTCGAAAAAATACGCGATTTGAAAAAAAAAAATTGTCCAAAACGGACAACCGAGTCAAAAGTTATGCATTCCCGAACTTTTCGTAAAAAAAAAATAAAATAAAATAAAAATAAAAAAAAAATAAAAGCGCCGGTTCAGCCGGCTAGGCGGCCGACCGCGGAGATGGCCGATTTCGGCCTTCTTCGCGGCGGCGCCTAGGCGCGATTTTTGCAACATTGATGATAACATCATGCATGCACATTCAAGCATAAATAAATGAGTGAACTCCATAACCACAAAGTATTAAAATTACTTGCTCCCAATTCAATCATAAACTTAGATCTCCAGTAGATTCTTGTCCGATGCCCAGTGACAGATCCAGAAATTTTATTTTTGACAGTAGGACGAAATCATTAAAGCAAAAGAGATAGTAAGGAGTCATGAGAGCAATTAAGGATTCGACCCCTAACCATTCCTAAGGTCAAGCACGGCTTTGCCAACTAGTCCAAGCAATCTATTATTTATATTTATACGTTTTTATATACATATATCTAATACGTGTACTATATATACATATAATGGCTACCCTGACCCTGCCCCAACGACATCAGCAGCAGTGGTTTTCAGACGCGATTGTCATCATCAACTGAAAAGTAATCGTTACGAATCACCCCATCGAATCAGCTCCGAATTCCCCAAATTTGAATTGGTTTCCAGAATCTGAACCTGGGCTCAGTTGCAACAACTCCCAATCTTGAAATTTTTCATCCATATCTATTGTGATTTCATTATTCCTTGATCGAAGGGAAAAAGTCAAAAAACAAAGAAACCCGGGGCGATTGTGAGACAGCCATTCAACTTCAGCAAAAATACAAATTTGCCACCGCCCCTTAAACTAAATAGTCCGTTTAATTTGACAGCAATAATTAAGTAAAAGGGAAACGGCACTTTTGATCCCTCAATTGTTTTAATTTTAGAAATTTAACCCCTCTCAATTGATTTGAGCAAACTTAATCCTTTAATTGTTCATAATGTAGCACATTTGGTCCCTCCTCTTGTTATGTAGAATTATTTTTAATAATTTATATAATTTATTCATTTAAAATTAAAAATATTTTTATAATAAATAAATACATAAATTGTTTTCAAAAAAAAAAAATAAATACATAAATTCAAAAAAAAAAAGAAGAAGAAGAAGAAGAAGAAGAACAGCCACCGGCTATCCTCGCCGGTGGCTGTTCTTCTTCTTCTTCTTCTTCTTCTTTTTTTTAATTTATGTATTTATTTATTATAAAAATATTTTTAATTTTGAATGAATAAATTATATAAATTATTAAAAATAATTCTAATTATATAACATGAGGGACCAAATGTGCTACATTATGAACAATTAAAGGGTTAAGTTTGCTCAAATCAATTGAGAGGGGCTAAATTTTCAAAACTAAAACAATTGAGGGGCCAAAAGCGCCGTTTCCCCTTAGGTAAAATTGAAAAGAATGAGGGCAAATTAGGAAATTACTTAAACATTGTAGTATTGTACAACTAAAAAAACATAAACTAGAATCTTATATAATATATTAGTTCTTTTATGAGATAATGACCAATAATTATTTTCAAATAAGTATTTCAAAGTATATCAATACAATATTATATAGGAGATGTCCATGCATAGGTAAATAAATATTGAATTTGTTTATTTAAATCGGTAATTTAAAGTATATAAATGCAAAATAATATATGAGAGATTGATTATAATTGTCACTAAAATAAATGTTTGCAACTTTGTAATAACACTAGTCTAAATACTTAGTTTTAAAGCGATAGTCTAAATAAATACTACTTTTGGTTTAAATTTCTCTAATTCTTCTTAATTCTCTTTTGGGTAGCATTGTCATTGTTCTCATCTTCGGTACATGTCCTCTCTTTTTTTTAGTTTTTTATTGGTAGTGTGTCATGTACAATTAGGTTACTGGTGGCAGCATAGAGGGATTCATCATGCATTGAGAGTATGGTGTAGGAAGCTTTAGATTTGTCTTGATGTGTATATGACTGAGATTTTAGTTGTAATATGAACTCTTTATCGTACAAACACCTATTGATATTTAGTAGTGGTAGTTTTTTCCCTACATGTTTATGTGTTGTGAGATGTGCGTCGTAAGTTATCATGTGAAAGCTAAGTATTGAACAAAATATTAATATTTATTATATTTGTATAAAATACTTGGTAATAAATATATATAACATGTTTTGTATTATAACTTTGATATTTAATTACAAGATAATATAAAAAGAAGACAATGAACAATGTAGTGAATATAATAAATTAATAAATTTGAAGGTAAGAAATCTTTGAATTGTACAAAATAATGATAATATAACTAATGAAATTATATTTCTTTTAATTTTTTTTATAATGAATAATTTTTTTAAAATAAAGCATTATAGACATCTAATTCTAAATTAATTAAATACATATGTGTTATTTTTTGTTGTAGCTACTAATTTATTTCTATCTATCTACAATTCTAATAAGAGCCAATAATGTTAGGCCCTTAACTGGAACAAAAAAAATGCCAGCAATATTATTTCTTAAAATGAATGGTTCATATTATTTTGATTTTAGTACTTTTTAATGATTTTCCTTATTTACCCTCTATTATTTTATTTTATTCCCTTAAAAAACCTAGAGTCCGTTTGGAAAGTAGGAAAATGGCTTCTGGAAAATGACTTCTGGAAAATGAGTCATTTTCCATTCCTGTGTTTGGCTGCACAACGGAAAACTGTCTTTTCGTGTTTGGTTCATTTTCCAAAAAATGAATAGAAAAATGATCAAAATTGTATACTTCAATTAATTTTATTTCTTCAATTACTTTTTACTTTTTATATCATTTGATAAATTTATTTTTTAAATTTTATACCCTGATGTGTTATTCTACTACTTCTTCTTCTTCTTCCTTGACTTGCAATTCATAAAAATAGAGTAATTCAATCAAAACAAATAAGCACATAAATCCAAAACAATCACTTCCATTTCTACACAAATTAGAGGAATTGATTTCACAAAAAAAAAAAAACAAAAAAAAAACAAAAAACAAAAAAAAAAACAAAAAAAAAAATACCACTGGTTTCCGATGCAGAAACCAGTTAACTGGTTTCCGCATCGAAAACCTCTCTGGTTTCCGACTATCTGGTTTCCGCAGTCGGAAACCAGATCCACTGAACTGGTTTCCGATGCGAAAACCTCTCTGGTTTCCGATGCGAAAACCTCTCTGGTTTCCGATGCGAAAACCTCTCTGGTTTCCGATGCGGAAACCTCTCTGGTTTCCGATGAGACTTCCCGGTTGCCCTTCGCGATCTCTGTCACGATTCCAGGTTCCGATGACTCAGCGGCCATTTTTCTAGTGATGGATTTGTTGGTGGAGCTTGTTCTTGCGTTGATGGAGACGTGGAGATGGCAAGTGTTGCGTTGAATGAAGATGGAAAATGACTTCCCCAAAAAAAAGGGGAAGTCATTTTCTGGAAAAGTGAGGTGATTTTCCATTGACTTTGGGTTATTTTCCTTTGACTCCTATTTTCCTTGCCTAGCCAAACACCAAAAATTCGAAAAATGATTTCCAGAAATCATTTTTCGGGTTTCCAAACACACCCTAAATTCCGTTAGTATAAACTTTAGTAACGGAATATTCCGTTAACTTTTTATTATTTTTAACTTACTCATTAATTTCTATAAGAAAGGTCTTAGGTTCGAACCACATCCCAATTAGAGTTGGCATAATTGTTAAACTACAACAGATATGTTAAAATGTATTAAAAAAATATATAATATAAAATTTAACATAAACTTTTGTCAAATAATTAGTCCAACTAAATAGTAAATACATAATATTCAATTCTAAAATTTGAAAGTGTGTTTTTATTGGAATGCCTACAGGAGTCAAGGGATACAGACTATATGACATTGATACTGGTCAAATATTCAATTCTAGGGATGTGAAGTTCTATGAATCTGTTTTCCCATTTTTCAATAGGACACACTATCAATTCACATGGACCAGTTTTACCCCTTGTTGATACTGCAGATGATTTCTCATTTCCTATTGGACATTCTGATGTTGCTCTTGAATCAGACACTGAACCTACTGCTACATCCATTCATCCCGAAGCTCAAACTGATCATAGTTAGGGACTTAGAAGGTCTTCTAGACAAAGGCAATTACCTGTCAGGTTGCATGATTATCAGTGTGACACAACTGCAACTAATAGAACTTCCCCTCATTCCTTATGCAATGTCATCTCTTATCAAAGTCTATCTTCTGCTCATAAGGCTTTCTTTGTGGCAATCTCTTCTATTTCTGAGCCCAGAACCTACAACCAAGAAGTCAAAGATCATTGTTGGAGAGAAGCTATGCAAGCTGAAATTCAACTATTAGAATCTAATCACACTTGGATTCTCACTGAATTGCCACCTGGAAAAGTCCCCATTGGCTGCAAATGGCCGGGTTTACCGAATCAAGTGTACAAACCCGATGGCAGCATAGATAGGTATAAAGCAAGGCTTGTGGCAACGGGGTACACACAACAGTTTGGAATTGACTATCTCGATACTTTTTCCCCCGTAGCTATGATGACAACTATTACGACCTTGCTTGCTATTTCAATTACCCAAGGTTGGCACTTACATCAACTTGATATTAATAATGCGTTCCTACATGGAGATTTGGAGGAAAAGGTGTACATAGTCATGCCACCAGGTTTTGAGCCTACTAAATCCAATCAAATTTGCAAACTCATGCGATCACTTTATGGTCTCAAACAAGCAAGTAGACAATGTCATGCTAAACTCACTACTGCTTTGTTGTCCAATGGTTTCAATCAAGCATATGTTGATTCTTCACTCTTCACTAAATCAGAAAATAGTTCTTTTATGGCTCTCTTGATATAGTAGATGATATCATTCTAGCTAGTGACAACATAAACATGATTGATGCTTTGAAGCAATTTTTGGATGAAGCTTTCAAAATTAAGGACCTTGGTGTCCTCAAATACTTCTTAGGCATTGAATTAGCTCGGTCCTCAAAGGGACTACATCTTTGTGAAAGAAAATACATTCTGGACATTCTAGATGAAACTGGCTTCTTAGATTGCAAGCCTGCCCCTAGCCCAATGGTTCCTGATATGAAGTTAGCCCATGGTGATAGTGCTCCACTAGTAGATGTGGGTTCCTATAAAATATTAGTAGGGAGATTGCTCTATCTCACTGCTACCAGACCTGATATTGCTTTTGCAGTTAAGCAGTTGAGCCAATTCATTGATAGTCCTACTCAAAACCACCTTGTTGCAGCACATAGAGTTCTTCGGTTTCTTCACCCAAATACTGTCCACTAAACCATTGAGCTAAGCATGTGCGGGTAGTTCTTCGGTTTCTTAAATCAGCACTTGGAGAAGGTTTATTCTTCCATGCCACCTCTACTATTAATGTTAAAGCCTTTGCTGATGTAGACTGGGCAACTTGTCCAAATACAGGAAGTCAGTATATGGTTTTTGTATTTTCTTATATGATTCTCTCATTTCATGGAAGTCCAAGAAGCAACCCACAGTTGCAAGGTCAAGTTCAAAGGCAGAATATAATGCCATTTCTGTTGTTGTTTGTGAACTGCATTGGTTGCAGTACTTACTATCTGACTTGAAGGTTGCTCCTTCTAAATTGGCTACACTATTCTGTGACAGTAAATCAGCTATTGCCATCTCTGAGAATCATGTGTTCATGAAAGGACTAAACACATTGAGATTGATTGTCATCTTGTTAGGGAAAAGGTTCTAAAGGGCCTACTTAAACTTCTATATGTTCCCACTGCAAATTAATTGTTGATGGCTTCACCAAACCACTGCAAGTATCTGCATTTTGATTGTTTCCTTCTAAACTGGGGCTTGCTGATATTTACGCTCCAGCTTATGAAGGGTAACGAAAGATATAGTGAATGCTAGAAAAATGTCCCCTAAGCAATAAGTTTGTTGAAAGCAGTTATCATCTAGATTCTTCCTATATAAACATCTTCTCCATCTCTGTTAAGTAATTTTCCAAAACAGTGAATGAAAGTTCTTTCCCTTTTCAGATTTACTTCATTCTTCCCCTCTTCCTCTCTTCATCTCCTTGTTATCTGCCATGAGTATACACAATTTGTGCGGAAAGAAGAGGTGCAGGGCCCCAAATATCAATATAAACGAGATCTAAAATATTATTGCTAGACTTGGTTACCCTATCTAGCGGGAATCGAGAGGATTTCCCAAGTTGACACGACGAACATAAACCGGGGATTACATTTTTATTTGTTTCAACCGGGCATTCCCGTAAGACACGTTTGAGGGTTGATCATGTGAGTGACCGAGACGCTGATGCCAGACCGAGGACGATGCACGAGCAGCGACGAACGCATTATGTGATCGAGTTGGAAACCGACAACGAGTATAATCCCCCCGAGCTTGGACCTTTAAGAAGAACCGCCTGTGTGGTGGAGTCCTTCACAACAAAAAAAAAATCGGGTGAAACTCAAAAAAACAATTATTATCTTTTGTAAAACGATTTACAGATAATAAAGAGACCGACAGCTCAGGGACATGTAAAACGTTAGATAATTTTAATGGTTTAGTGACCGAAGGAATAACTTCATGTCCCACACGCGAGATCGCCAAACCTGTGTCATTACCCACTCTGAGGACATCATCCCCGTGATACTCCTCGGACTGTGAGACCACGTCGGAATCTGGAGTCGCGTGCGTGGAGGCGCCTGTGTCCGGCAGTCAGGACGTCACTGCCGACGTCGCCCCTCCGTCTCCAACGACTGCCACGTGCGCCTGGGAGGGTGGCGGTTCGGAGTATCTCCGATAGCAGAAGGCCGCCGAGTGGCCTTGCGACCTGCAGATCTGACAGCGCAGACCGCCGCTCCGACAACGGCCGCCACGTCCTCCTCGCTGGTTGCCGCCGCGACCCCCACCGCCGCGGGACTGACCACGACCGCCATTGCCATGCTTCCGTCCACCCCGGCCGGCATACAACGCCGAGGGAACACCGCCCGTCGTTGCCGGTTGGTAGACCGAAAAATCATCCGCGTGGATGAATTGTTGTGTCTGTAAGTAATCCGCCAGCTGCGGGATCGTCACCGGCGTACCAGTGACCGCCAGGGAAGCTGCCATCAATTGGAACTCCGGCCGCAGCTCCCGAAAAACGTATAAATTCTGCTCCGACAATGTCATCGATCGTCCGGCGAGCGCTAGGTCCTCGACCAGATGCTGTGCACGCCCAAGATACTCCGGTGTCAAGCTATCCCCCTGTCGAAGCGACTGGAACTGCCCCATGAGATTGAGGCAGCGAACCTGTGAAGAAGAACCAAGTGTCGTCTCCGCCGCAAGCCATACTGCTCGGGAAGTCGTCTGGCCAAGCGTGAGATACATCACCTCCTCCGAGATCGACGAGATGAGCAAGGATAGGATGGAGGCATCCTGCTCGATCCACGCTTCGTACGCCGGATTCGGTGTGGTGGAGGCGGCGGCGTCGGACTGCTCAGCGACGGGGAGTTCAATGAACAGAGCTGGGCAAGGCCGCGATCCGTCGATGAAGCCTAGTAATCTCTGGCCGCGTAGAAACAGGATAATTTGGGTCATCCAGTATAAATAGTTCCGATGGGTGAGTTTTTGTGACACAAAATGGTGTGCACTGGGAAGGGAATTTGGGGTGGTGTTTGGGGAGGAGATGGTGGTGGTGGTGGTGGTGAGTGTTCGTTCGGAACTTTGAGACATCGTCGGACGGAAGGAGGAGAGAGAAGAAAACAATAGATTTCTACTGGCTAACTAATACCATATGAGAATGGAAGTGATTAATCATTCAGTTACAGAATTGTGATAACCTTAATACACTTAGAGAGAGAGAGAGAGAGAGCTATCTAATAGGCTATTGACTATATCACTAACAGAATTTACATAAATACATAATAATAATATAGTCTAATAAGATGCAGGGCCAAATTTTGGACTGTGCAACAACACAAGACCTCAATTTTTAGAGGGCCCAATATTTTTTTTTACCTAACTAGTTAATTAGAAATTAAACAATATTGCAATTAATCTTAAAAGATTCTATTGGTTTTAAAGATTGAGTTTTTCTTATGTGTAACATGTGTACACACTACATACCAGGACCGGTTTTTAGATTTTTGTGGCCCTGTTCATATAAATAAATAAGGCACCTACCAAAATTAAAAAATCTATAAAACTAATACCGTAATTTTATTATCTAAATATATAACAAAAAAAATTATCCGTGCATCGCACGCACACTGCACGCACATCGCACGGATAATTGGGCAATTATTTGCTCGAATTCAAACAAAGGATAACATAAAAAAAACATATCGATACAACTCATTTCATCAATTGCACTATATAATATTCGTTGTTAAAATTTTAAGACAAATCTTTTTCGTGCAACGCACAGGTAAAAATGGACATTATGAAATAATAATAGTGTGCACAAGTTTTGAACCTTAGACCTCAAAGTTAAAATACAATAAATACATGTTCCTACCATTTATTTATGAAGCCTTTTAAGTTTAATTAAAAACTTTTAATTTTTATTTCTAAACTAACTAGGTAAAAATAAAATATTGAGCTTCTAAAATTTGGGACCCCTCCAAAATTTGGGGCCCTGTGCGGTAGCCCAGCTTGCACAGCCCAATATTCGGGCCTGCTACATACATCTAGCATGCTATATATTGATCAGTGTATGACCAAATGGTAGCTAGCTACAAATCTAATCAAAGAGGAGTTGATTAGACATGGAAACAACTGAGGATAGATCTTCTACCAGGTGGAGAACATTCATGCTCGTCCTCAACTGCGTAATACTAAGCATAGGAAACTGCGGCGGCCCTCTTATCTCCCGCCTCTACTTCCTCCGCGGCGGCAGCCGGATTTGGTTCACAAGCTGGCTAGTAACCGGCGCCTGGCCGCTCACTTTCATCCCTTTAGCCGCCGCATACGCTTTCCGGCGCACGACCGAAGGCTCCACCACAAAGCTCTTCTTCATAACGCCGAAGCTGTTCGCCTCCGCGGCCGCCATCGGCGTCCTCACCGGCCTCGACGACTACCTCTACAGCTACGGCGTGGCGAAGCTCCCCGTGTCCACCTCCGCGCTCCTCATCGCCACCCAGCTGGCCTTCACCGCCGGATTCGCGTTCCTGCTGGTGAAGCAGAAGTTCACGGCCTACTCGATCAACGCCATCGTGTTGTTGACCATGGGCGCCGGAGTTTTGGCCTTCGGCGCCAGCAGTGACCGGCCCGCCGGGGAGAACACCAAGGAGTATATTCTCGGGTTTGTTTTAACGCTTTTAGCGGCACTTTTGTATGGGTTTATTCTGCCGTGGATAGAGTTGGTGTACAAGCAGGCAAAGCAGGCGATCACTTATACGTTGGTTTTGGAGATCCAGTTGGTGATGTGTTTCTCTGCTACTCTTTTTTGTACCATTGGGATGATCATAAACAAGGATTTCCAGGTAATCATCATTTTCATCATTATAATAAATTTAATTTTCACCTTTATAATAAATTTAATAATAGTTAAACTTATAATTATTTATATTTGTTTTATAATTTCTCAAGAGTTAATTTTATTTTTTGTCCTAAATTTATAAGTGACAACTGACAATCCATTATAAGTCCTTTAATTTTTTATTAGAACATCCACTTTTGGTTGTGACATTGATAATTTTTTGTCCTTTATCAACAAAACAGTTTAAATATCGTTAAATACAAGGACATTTAAGTCTTCAATTATGGATTTTTTCAAAAAAAAAAAAACATAAAAAATATAGCAGTTCAACCTACTTTGTATAAAAAGATTGAAATGCATGTCTTTGTATTCAACTGACATTTCAGCGATTTTGTTGAAAGAAGACTAAAAATGGTCCTACCACAATAATATTAGGACTAAATAAGGATGTTCTAATCAATAAGGACTAAAGATACACTGTGACCTATAAATTTAAGACCAAAAATTAAATTAACTCATTTCTCAATCTTTTTTGTGATCACCCATTTAAAAGGGTAATAGAGTGGTCATTACACTATATAGAAGTTGACAATAATAGTTACAATTTTTTATTTTTTTTAGTACAATGGTTACAAATTTAATTTCAATAATAGCTCTTAAGTTGAAACACTACCAAAAAAGATCAATTTTTCTTACATACAAAAGTATTAAGTACGTTAAATTATTATTATTATTTTTCAAAATCGTCATTCTTAACGTACTTTGGAATATATAATTAAACATTGGAAATGAAGTTACATTACTAATTATGTTTTCTAACGTCAGACATCACTCTAGTAGTGTCACCAGAATTTTATTTGATTTGGGACAAGAATTTTATTTGATAACTGCAGTTTCTGGATTTTTATTCAAATGCAGAACAACACTTTAGGATTTTATAATACGTCACACTTTTGTTCTAACTTCTAATCAGGGCCGATTTTTAGATTTTTGTGGCCCTGTTCGGATAAATAAATAAGGTCCTATCAAAATTAAAATCTATAAAACTAATACCGTAATTTTATTATCTAAATATATAACAAAAAAAAATATCTGCACATCGCACGCACACTGCACGCACATCGCACGGATAATTGGACAATTATTTGCTCGAATTCAAGCAAGTATAACATAAATGTTCCTACCATTTCTTTATAAAACCTTTTAAGTTTAATTAAAAATTTTTAATTTTTATTTCTAAACTAACTAGGTAAAAATAAAATATTGAGCTTCTAAAATTT